TATTATTTTTATTTTTATCATCATCATTGTTATCTAACAATTATTCGCCAGAGGCAAAGTGAATATCGGGAAATATTTACCGAGACGCGAGTCTTCGAGTGGCGAGGTAAAAACTATTCTACGATCATATTCACTGAGGCTGAGGCAAATAATTGTTTTAGTATAAATACACAGGTGATTCTTTCAAAAAAGAGAAACAAGGAAAAAAGAAGATTTAAAAAAATAAAAAATTGATATCAGGAACCATTTTAATTGAAGTGACAAACGGGGCTTTAAATTACAACTTAGCTTATTTGATTGTATTAAGTATCTTTTTTTTTTTTTACCTTTGAACAAAGTTTGTGCAAATTTGTTAGCCTCTATAGTGCTTTTTTGGGACAGCATTTCTTTCATTATTTCTAATTCCTCTCCGGTAACAGCAACAAAGCAGCTGGCCGCCATTTTGGATTATCGCTAGAGGTGATTATTGTGTGATAGTGTGAGTTTCTCGACCAATCACCTGGCGAGATTTTATTCAATGATCTGGCCTGTGTATTTTTACTAATATTTTATATTCAAAGGAAACGGATGGACACTTGAAATTAATTTGATCCCAGGGATGCGTCTCAAGACATTTTATGATCAAAAAGACGCTAAATTAATTGAAATTGCATATTAATGGATCATGAGGTATAAAACGACTTGCCTTATTGACTCTGGCCTTGAAGCAAGAAAAGTAATGGCGATCAGAATTGTTTTCCTTTTAAAACCTCCTTTTTTTCGGCCGAAAGTTGCTTAAAACGTATATTTATAGCAGCGTTAGCCTTTTTCTTAAGCAACTTTTAGTCGAATAAAATATGATCAAATTTTGGACGTATTTCGTGCAAGTGCCACTTTAATTTGGATACCATTGTCCTTTAAATGTTGCGTCCGTAATAGGCCGGTTGTTTCATGATAACTAATCTTGTATTCTTTTCCAGTTGGAATTTCATGGCTTGCTGTACCAGATGAACACACCAACGTCGAACAAGGACGTCCTATTTTCCTGTGCTGGTATTACAAAATGGACGACAACGAATCATTTTTGTCCTCCGAGATTGAATTTTTTGTAGACACTAAACCATACCCCACTACCATGGCTTCAAGACATATGGGAGAAAATACGTATCATAAACATCAAAGGAATGATCCTTCATTCTCAATTTTTGGTAAATATAACGTTACCCTATCTGTGCGGCACAGTGTTGAGATTGGACATAATATCACCTACTGTTGTGAAATATCGTGGACATCAGTAACTGCAAGAGTAAAAGAAAGAAAGTGTTCTAAAATATTCGTTTATGGTAAATATTATTACAGTTGCAGTTGCATAATTATTTTTTAAATAATTTGATAAACGTTTATACGTACATTTCCTATAGGTCCAAGTCCCTTGTCTTTTCCAGATGGTTATTATGATTTCTTTGTTTTGATTTCTGACTTTAATTTAATTCAATTT